GGCACTTGCAGTCCTTCCAGCCAGGACCCCCCCCCCCATGCACACACGAGCATATGCATGCAAACATGCGTGCGGGCACTGGCTCAGTGGTTCCCCAGAGGGACCTGAGGGCCTGCCAGGGCCACTGCAGACTTTAATTCTATTTTCTTTCCTTTGTGGGGGAATAAGGAAATGAAAGAATTAACACATGCAAGAGGCCAAAGCCACCAGATGATGATTTAAAAGTGGGGAAAGGTGCCTCCTCCATTCCTGATGTTCAGGCCTTTGGCTCTTAGACTCAATGTTAGGCCTTTAAAGGAGGCCGGGTCAGTGTAGCCCCTCTGCAAAGTGATTTTGTAACTAGTTAAACTTCAGGGCCTGCAGCTTTGAACAGCACTTTTGGGAATTTTTCCCGAGTATTATAAAAAACAAATTACACATGTGAGAAAACAATATATTAAAGACTACTTGTATAGTATTAGGATAGTAAAAACAATATATTCAAGAACACTTGTATAGTATTAGGATAGTAAAAAATGCAAGAGTGACTTAAATATGCAGCCATAGGCCCTCTTTAGACAAGGGTGGCCTCAAAAGCACAGAGATCCTCCTGCCTCTGCCTTCCCAACGCTGGGATTAAAGGTGTGTGGCACCATTGCTGGTCTGTATAGGTTAATTATTATTAATGCAAGTCAGTGGTCATTAATTCAATTATCCGTAAGTTGGGTGTGGCTTTTTGCCTTGGCAAATTGTGAAATTAAGCAGATTATGAGACATTATGTGCCACAGGATCTGATTGCTGTTGAAATGTTACTATGTGACATTTGACTCCTTTTGGGCATGTCCTGGATTGTAATTGCAGTGTTTCTCTTTTGTTTCCTGGTTTTTGAGACAGGGTCTCACTGTGTAGCCCTGGCTAGCTCAGAACTTGCTGTGTAGACCAGGCTGGTCTTGAACTCATAGAGATTTGTTCCCTCTGCCTCTGGGTGATTGGAGGGCTAAGGATTGCTGCAAAGATCACACCACACAATAGACCTCATGAAAGAAATTTATTGGGGGTGTGCTTCGGGTGTGTGTGTGTGTGTGTGTGTATAGGCCTCCTCTGAGAGAGGATGGGAAAGAAAGAGCAAGCTGTGAAGGTACAGGCTTTATAAAGGGCGCTAGACTCATGGCAACAGTGGAAAAGTGTCCCATTTGGTCACTGGTGATGAAGTGGCTTCTGGCACTTAGTGGCTGAAGGTTGGCTGGGTGAGCATCTGATTCTGGAATGTGGGTGGTTCTCAGTTTTCCAACAATAGGTGTGTACCACACTAGATCTACAGTATTTTTCTTAATGTTAGAATGTGGTGGAGGGATCCCCACAGCTAACTGTTCCAGATTTAGGGTCACAGCCTGTGCTCCAATAAGCCATGTTCAGCATCTACCCCCAATAAACCAATTAAAATAGCTAAGTTAACAGTGGAAAGTAGAAAAAGATACTGGGGGGAGGCACAAAGAAGTCCATTGATGTCCCCTCACCCCCACAATTTTCTTCTGGGTCCTAAAGTGAGGTGACAGTTTAACTGCAGAACCAGAGTTATGTAAGCCAAAGCAGTCCTGGCAATGTGTGGACCTGCCCACCATTGACATATTAATATGTCTTCTGTAGGTCACCTGATGGGTTGTACATCTCTTTCAGGTAGGCAAGTTTCTCCTCTGGCTGGCCCAGGCATTCTGTTTTTCCAGCTTGAGACTTCTGGGTAATTCTAGTTTCCTGGAGGAGTCTGACAGCTAATGGCAGAGACACACCTTTCGAATGTCTTCATCCCTGCCAGGCCAGTTACACAACCTCTGAAGGCATCTCAAGTTGGAAGGAAAATGCCTGCACCCCTTTTGGCTCAAGGGCAACCACTGTCTCATGAGCACATATATTGCTCTTTGCTGTTAGCTCTGATGGCTGGTTAGTGTAAGCCACAATGTCCTGTGCCTGGGTTCTGGCCCAGATGTTTGGAGCGAAATGCAAACCCAGCCTCCCTGCCACATTTCCCAGGAGTCTGTTCTGTATCCGGTTGAAGTTGTCTTTGTATGCAGAGTAGGGATTGGCACAGTAGACTTTCCCTAGGGCTTTCTGTCCCTCACATCTACAGTGAGCAGTGCAGATACTCTCATTTCTTAGAGTCTGTAACCCAGCAGGAGTTTCCTTTGTTTATTTTAAGAGGGACTCAAGTCCAGAGGTCTGGGACTTTACTGACCTTACATTCCGAAGTCCGGGGCTGCTGCAGCCAAGCCAGCTGCCGGCATGACTTAAGCACCAGTTCCTTTCTCATCAGTGCTCTGCTTGTGGCTTAAGTGCTGGACTTCTGGCACATGGCCCGATGCGGGTTTGATCCTTGTAAGCTTAGTGTGACAAGTCAGAAGTGGGAAAGCCTTTTCCTAGGGGAATGGCCACCATCTATAGTATCTCTTGGTCCGTGAGGGTGGGGATGGCATGCTCTCCTCTCTAGTCACTTTTTGGTTGGGCAGGTAGACATCTATTGTTGCAGGCAGGGCTGTGATAATGGACATGTTCCTGTTAGCTTTTTTACTTGCAGGTTACTGTCTGTAACCTTGTCTCCCACACTATGGGTGTGTGGCCATAGTGCAGAGATGTGATTGAAAGCTTAGGCTGGGTGAGCTTGACTTCACATTCTCGCCTTGTTATTTACCAGCTGTCAGTAGGAACATGACCAGAGTCAGTGTGTATCTGTGTGAACGGACAACTTTTGATGAGAACAGGAGATAGGAACTGGTCAAGTGGGGCAGCCATCCCAAAGCAGCCATTCTGAGAACCTCAGAGAGGGTTTTGGTCCCCGTTTCTTTGTTGTCTCCTGGTTTTAGTTAGGGTCACTATTGTTTCAATGAAACACTGTGACCAAAAGCGAGTTGGGGTGGAAAGTGTTTATTTGGCTTATGTTTCCACGTCATAGTCCATCACTGAAGGAAGTCAGGGCAGGAACCTGGAGGCAGAGGCTGATGCAGAGACCACGGAGGGGTGCTGCTTATTAGCTTGCTCCTTGTGGCTTGCTCAGCCTGCTGTCTTATAGAACCCAGGACCACCAGACCAGGGATGGCACCACCCACCATGGGCTGGGTCCTCCCCCATCAATCACTAATTGAGAAAATACCCTACAGGTTT